AGAGAGAGAGAGAGAGAGAGAGAGAGAGAGAGAGAGAGAGAGAGAGAGAGAGAGAGAGAGAGAGAGAGAGAGAGAGAAGCAATCTAACTAGCTATGCGCATCTCCCCCCCTCCCCGCAACTATCAAGTAGCATCTGCTTCGCTCAGTTTCATATCCGATCTTCTCCAATGATCATGCATAGTATCTGCTCCGTTCAGTTTCATATCTTATCCGTGGTTAATCGATACTTTTAATTTTATTTAAAGGTTAAAAAAGCATGTGCGTGCGAGAGAGAGAGAGAGAGAGAGAGAGAGAGAGAGTCCATCAACTTCTTGGCAAACATTTCATTTTTATTGCGGGCGTAGCCGCAACAGGTCCCCTAGTAGAAATTATAATTTGTTTTGGATGTGGCGCCTTGTGGTTGTGCTTTGTTTACGCAGGTGGACCGCTGCATGAAACAGAAATTTGTCTTTTATCTTTTGCTGGCGTGTTTCTCTGCAGCATAGGCTTGGAAAGCACTGGTGAATCGCTTCCTGTCAACTGACTGAATTGGTCTTCGTGTTGTTTCTTGGTTTTCTCCATAAAATTTTGAAGGTTGATTGCACTCGACGGGTTGGTGTCAGTGAAAGCCGAATGAGAAAGTGGCTGCTCTCAATAAGTGCTTTCCTCCGGAACCAGGTAATGAAACCTCTTTGTCTCTCTGTGTCTTCGCGTGTGTCTCTGTGTCTCTGTCTCCCTCTTTCTCTCTTTCTCTCTTTCTCTCTTTCCCTCTTCCTCTCTCTCACACACACACACTGATGAGTCGGTGAAAGTCCGGCGAAACAGTCTGGCACCGTCATGCTTTTGAGTGTATAGCAAATATGACAACACACACACACACACACACACACACACACACCTCCCCTCCACTCCATTTGTACTACTAGCAAATACATACGGATGAGCATCGTTAAGAGAATATAGACGATATGAAGATCAGAAATGAAATGAATGGAAGTATGAAGATGAAGGACGGATTCAAAGACTGTATAAGCTGAAGATCTGAAGTGAAATGAACAGGAGTATGAAGCTCTGAAGAGATGCCCAGGAGCATACCTTCCCTTTTACTCTGCCTCCTGAAATAACGTGCAAGTGGGCCGTGAAGGCACACAGGGATGTGGGCAGCTGCCACTCACCCACAATCAACGTGGGCAGCCTTGTGCGTAAGAGGCACAGTAAAAGGGGAGCTGCAAGAACAATGAAAGGGGTACCCCAAGGACAACCAAAAAACTGTCTAATTATAAAATTGCTTTAATATGTTTCACATCTCAAATGCTTTCGTTGTCTGCAATAGGACAAAGACTGCTTTGATTCTGAATCTATTCACCTGGGTGGAATTGGGGCTGTTGTGGGAAAATCTAACACACACACACACACACACACACACACACACACACACACACACACACACGCACA